GACCCCCCCAGGAGTGGGAGGAGCGACGGCGGCAGAACATTGAGCGGATGAATGAGGAGATGGAAAAGATCGCCGAGTACGAACGCAACCAGCGGGTCAGCACATATCGCGACGTATCGCGACGTATCGTAACGTATCGCGACTCGGTGCCACTTATTACTTTTCTATCAGGACGTACTGCCACGTGCCCACCCCCATCCACCTTTCTGTTGCTCCATATCGTGACCTGATGCCCTGTCCTATCGCGATATGACTCTTTTTTTTCCCTGTTCTGTCACGACATGAAGCTTTTTGTTATGTGTAGCGACCTACCGTGACACGATGGTCTTCATGCCCTATTCTGTCACGACTCAACATTTATTATTGCAAATTGCTCTCGTGACATATCACAACATTTTGTTCCCCGTACCTCATTGTGTCGCAATGTGACATCCTTTATCGTGACATAGCATAATATGAGCACTCAGTATCATCACTTACAGTAAGGTGATGCACTCTATAGCCCGTTCTGTCACGACGTAACATCCCGTTTTGCAATATATCGCAATACAGCATTTGCTGCCATGATGTATTGCGATGTGACATCCGCTATTGGAATGTATCGCAACGTGGCACCTGCTATCACGACATATCACAGCACAACACCTCCCCACTCCTTGTTCTATCGCAATACGTCATCTCTTTTTGTGCAGTGCCTCAACGTTATCGTCACTATTAAGATGTAGGGTGAGGTGTCACGATATGTAGGGGGATATTGTGATGTATTCTGAGGTATCGTGGTTTATTGTGAGATATCATGATATATTCATGCGATATAGCGTGTCATATTGCAGCGTATTGTGATATATTGTGATGAGTCGTATGATGGGATACCATGATAAATCGTGACATATTGCGATACAGTTTCGTATACTGCAGCATTTTGATGTGACGTATTGTTATATATCATTATATATCATGATATATCACAACACATTGTGGGACGTGTAGCGATATATCGCGATATATTATCACATATGATTTATTGCGATGCATCATGATGTATTGCAATACTGTGACAAGTTATGATATATCATGACGCGTCACGGTAAATCAGAATATGTCATGATAGAGTGTGATGTACTGCAATGTTGTGATGTGTTGTATGGTGATATTATATGTCACAATATATTACGATACGTTGTGAGAGATGTAGTGATATATCATTATATATCATGACATATCGTGATATATCGTGACGTATCGCGATATATTGCGATGTGAGCTTGTTTGTCTCTCTTTTAGGATGGTCGCGATATGTCACGATATATCATTATATATCATGACATATTGTGATATATCGTGATGTATCACAATATATTGCGATATGAACTGCTTTGTCTTTCTTTTAGGATACTCACGATACATCATTATATATCATGACATACTGTGATATATCGTGACGTATCGCGATATATTGCGATATGAGGTTCTTTGTCTCTCTTTTAGGATGGTCATGATACGTCACGATACATCATGATATATCGTGACATATCGTGATATATCGCGACGTATCGCGATATATCGCGATATGAGCTTCTTTGTGCGTCTTTTAGGATGGTCTCCATGACCGGAATCCTGTGCGGAACTTTCTGGACGACCCGCGGCGTTGCGGCCCGGCGCAGGAGGAGGGCAGTCGGCGGCACGGTCGCAATTGGGGCGGCCCCGACTTCGAGGGCGTGCGGGTGGGCATGGAGCGTGAGAAGGTCCGATTTGGGGTGAAAAAAGGGGATTTGGGGGGCTTGGGTGGGAGGTGGGAGCGAGGTGGGAGCAGAGCGTTGGGTTTGGGGTGAAAAATGGGGGATTTGGGGGCGTTGGGGTGTCACGGCACCACGGTGGGTGTCGGGGTGGGGTTTGGGGTGGGAAAGGAGGATTTGGGGGCGTTTGGTTTGATAACTGCTCTGGATTTGGGGATAAAAAGTGACGATTTGGGGTTTTGGGGGTGATAGTGGATGTTGAAATAGCCCAAAAACGTGGCGTGGTGCTGGTTGTGGTGGATTTGGGGGGAAAAAATGGGATTTTGGGGTCTGAGAGATGAGAGTGACTCTGGGCTTGGGGTCAAAAAGTGGAAATTTGGGGTCTGATAATTATTAATTGTGAATTTGGGGTCAACCAGCGAAGTTTGGGGATTATTTGGGTGATGGTTTGTATTGGGTCCATCCCAAAACGTTGACGTGACATCGTCCATAGTGGATTTGGGGGCAAAAAAGGGAGCATTTGGGGTCCGATCGATGGGAATAGCTCTGAGTTTGGGGTCAACAAATGGGATTTAGGCTTTTTAGATGCTTTTAGCTTCGGTTTTGGGTTCAGAAAATGAAATTTTGGGGTCACATGGGTGATGTTGGACAGCAACCCGAGAAGCATTGCCGTATCGCTGCCAACGATGGATTTGGGGCCGAAAAGCGGACTTTCTGCTGTTTTTATAGGATACCATCCCAAAATTCGGGGCTAACGAGCTCCTGTTGGGGTTAATTGGTGCGGGATTAATTATAGGGTCGCAGCCCGAAGGCGGCCGACGTGACGCTGTCCATGACGGGCCGGGAAAGGGCTGAGTACGAGCGCTGGAAACGGGAACGGGAACGGATCGACCGCGAGCGCCTGGCGCGGCACCGGCAGCCCAGCGGGAAATGGCGCCGAGAGTGGGATGCACACAAATCCGACAGCATGTGGGTGCCTCGCTGTCCCCAACACCCTTGACCCCGATGTCCCCAACCCCATTGACCCCATTGTCCCCACTGTCCCCAACCCCATTGACCCCAATGTCCCCAACCCCGTTGACCCCATTGACCTCAATGTCCCCAACCCCGTTGACCCCATTGACCTCAATGTGCTCAAGCCTGTTGACCCCATTGACCCCAATGTCCCCAACCCCGTTGACTCCATTGACCCCACTGTCCCCAACCCCCTTGGCCCCGATGTCCCCAACCCCATTGACCCCATTGACTTCAATGTCCTCAAGCCTGTTGACCCCATTGACCCCAATGTCCCGAACCCCATTGACTCCATTGACCCCACTGTCCCCAACCCCATTGGCCCCGATGTCCCCAACCCCATTGACCCCATTGACCCCAATGACCCCAATGTCCCCAACCCCGTTGACTCCAATGTCCCCAACCCCATTGACCCCATTGACCTCAATGTCCCAACCTCTCATGACCCCAATGTCCTCAAGCCTGTTGACCCCATTGTCCCCACTGTCCCCAACCCCATTGGCCCCAATGTCCCCAACCCCATTGACTCCATTGACTTCAATGTCCTCAAGCCTGTTG